CCCATCAGCCGCCCCCCCCCCCCACCAAACCCCCTGCCACAACCTGCCTGTGGTGCCGTGAAATCCTCAACGTGCCTCTGAGGAGAGCAGCACAGCAAAGAACAGCTCTATGCAAAGCAGTTCTATCATCAACTCATCTTTCCCAGGAGTCTGGTAGCTGCTTGCAGGAGTCATGCCCTTAGCCACAGGACAGGACCCTGCCTAAAAGGGCAAGGATTAAATTAAGTACATTAAATTATTACTATTAATAAATTAATTAATCATTAATTTAACAAATTATTATCAAATTAAATGAAGTGCATTACATGGGGTGGTGCCAGCTATGTGCTGGCAGAATAACTGTGAGCAGACTGCTGCAAGCTTCAAATTCCCATAAAAACACCTATTGAAGCCTTAAAGGGATTTGGACGTAGACAGGTCTCTGATTCATTGACATAGCAGCCAGAACTGCAGCAGTGCAGCCACAGATCACCTTCCTGTTTTGCCAGCCAAGTTCTGCTACTACACAACATACCCCCCTTGCCCTGTGGCTACAAGCAGTAGAGCCCACTGAGTTTTGCCTCCAGCCTGGCACCTTGCAACATCGATTTCCTCATCCAGAAGGTAGGGACAGTAATGCTCGATTGCCTCAAGAGGGCTCTGTGAGACTTCTCTGCAGAGCGCTGCTATGTCCCGGGATGAAAGGCAAGATGATAACACACCAAGGACTAGCACTGCTCTATCTTCCACACCGCATGTTGTTTAGTACCCTCCAACCCCTCCCACACACAGAGAGGATTGATGCCTTGGCTTTGAATAGCACTTGGGGAATGGCCTCCAGGTTTGCCCTCAGGAGGTGGAGGAGACTATGGTAACACTTACGTCTGGTTAACAGTCTGGAGAAAGGCTCACACCTCGTGATACCTGCTCTGAGCAGAGGTGCAGAGTGACTGGGCAGCATCCATCACGCAGTAACCAGAAAGCTGTGATTAAACTGTTTTTTTCTGGCAAGGATAATGGCATACCCAAACCCAGCCATTCTCATCTCCCTTCTGACCCAGCACCACACTGTGGGTTCGTGACAGCTTCACTCAACCATCTCTTACTCATCTCCACACAAAGCCAGCCCCTCACTCTAGGTCTTGCAGTCAGTTCTCACATGAGGAAGGCTGCAGGGTCTGAAATCACTCCACTTTGCTCACAGAAGCCCCAGACTTCCATGCCACACACTCTGGGAGCCTAGAGCCATTTCCTATTGCTTTCGGATAGTGTCCCAGCCTCTGGCGATGCCAGAGGTCACTGCTGACAGGACAGTGCTTGGGTAAGGTGTTTCAAAGCTGGGCTTTGACAGCTTCACGCTTGTTATCCCCACTGCGACCAGAGGCACTTTGCAGTCAGGCACGTGGAGGAACTTTAACAGGCTTCACTTCAAAATTCCTCCCTTTTTGTTGGGCCCACGCTGGGCAGTGCCTGTGAGCAAAGCTGACAGGAGGCTGACGCTCCGTAGCCAAAAGCTTCAGAATCTTTGTTGCCATTGGCTTTGAGATGGTTTAAAGCAAATCTTTTACAAGGTAAAATCCAATATAAACCTGCCAGCTACAGCTTTCCTTTGTTAGCAGCAAGGATGTAATTATCACAATTTACCTTTATATGAGTGATTGTGGGCAGACTCCATGTGATTCCTGGGCTTTCTCACTGCAGCCTGCCTAGGGTTTTCCCCCAGCACCCGTCATGGCAACATCCAAGGACTGACAAAGCTGTATCCGCCTGACAAAAGACTATCCATGCAGAAATGGAGCTACTGCGAGGAATGAATGGTCTATTCAAAGGCTACTTGCAAGGTGTATTTCCTAGTTTTAAAACTTGTTGAGGAACAACTACCCAGACAGAAAGCTGACAGTGACGGCTGTTTGTTGGGTTTGGACTCTCTCTGCTGTAAGTGTGAACTAATTTATTGTTGCCCCGCTGAGGTTCATGTGTTTTAGCTGAGCACTTGCTTTTCTGAAAGAAAACATCTCAGATAGCACAGAATATGGGGGTTTAAAGTACACAAGTGGAGAGAACATAAAGTAGCAGCACTCTGGAGGACTGTCTGCCATGGTTCCAAGTGGGACTTAATGCTGGAAAATGGAGAAGAAAATGAGACCCTCTTTGTCCTGCACCTTTGGATGCACTTTGCTGCTCTTGTCTCCCGTTCCTCCTCACTCCTGAGCAGACAAACCAAGGCAAAGAGGAGGAATAGCTTTATAAATAGCCTTGACCTGGTCCTGGTCTTGCAATAGAGATTTTGGGGGAGCAGTGGATGAACCTTGCACTATCCATCTCGCAGAAGATCAGTATGAGGATCTCCTGGCCTCACTAGCATCCATTTCCTGCACCTGATACAGAGAGAAATTCCAGAGCACATCCCAAGAAAACAGTTGGAAGTAACCAGTTTGTCCAAGAAAGAAAAGCCCAGAAAAGCCCAGCTTTCCCCAGAGTGACCAACTGGAGATACTCAGATTACTCACATCCCTCTCCCACTGCACAGCCCCTCAAGCTCCCATCAGCCAGCAACAAGGACAAGCTGTCCTCAGCCGTCAGCACTGCTTTCTGCCATCACCATGTTCAGACTAAAACTGGGAACAGCATAATTTCTCTTTCCTCCTTCTAAACACTTAAAAAAGAGACCTACTTGCACCCTACAAGATCAAATCACAAGTTTTGAAGCCTTCAGGGAGAACCTTTTTTCTCCTTTGTTGCTTTTAGCATCGCCTGACAGTTTAAGTCTTTATCTAAAGGTCCAAGATCAAAGAAGAAACTTCTGCATGAGTTATTTGCACTACAAGGTCCACTGTGTGTCACTACCAGACCAAAAGGGTATTTCCACCAGAACAACTCACGTTTGTATGAATAATTCACAGCAGACAAGCAGCCAGGCTTTGAGCTGCCATGATCTAACACACACATGGAAACTCTCCACACCTCAGCAGCGCTGCCAACCACCTTCCAAGGCTTTTCACACACAGAAGGATGCTCGGGCTCATCACACATCTGCAGCATCAAGTCCTCAGCCCCATTTAGCGTTTCCAAAGTGCTTGCTGCTCCTCTGGCATGGCTTTAACAGAGTCGCCCCCAAACACCACACACCATGAGCACCGAAAGCCTCAAGGCTCTTCAGGCCAGTCTCACACTCACCTGCTCGTGGTACTCGATGCCCATGCTCAGCGTGTTGATGAGAATGGCTATCATAATCCCCCGGTTGAAATACTTGCTCTCCACAATCCTCTTCAGCTTGCTGCCAAAAGCCTTCCACAAGCGGCTGACCTTGTTCCTCTCCTTGGCCTTTTTCTTCTTCCTCCTCCTCCTGCCCCGCTGCTGCTGGAGCTGGTCTCTGTGGTCACCATGCCGCAGGTCCTGGGTGAACTCGTAGACGCCATTGCTGTCGGAGTCGCAGCTATCAGACTCACTGAAGGCAAACTCGGGGTCCTCCAGGAGGCTGGCGCAGAAGGGGCAGTCCTGGAGCTCGCAGGTCAGCGTGCCACCCGGCGGGCTGGGCAGCG